AAGAAGGAAAGAAAGAAAGAAAGAAAGGAAGGAAGAAAGAAGGAAAGAAAGAAAGAAAGAAAGAAAAAAAGAAAGAAAGAAAGGAAGGAAGGAAGGAAGGAAGGAAGGAAGGAAGAATTGACCCTCCAGGAATGGCAACTGACGTTTGAGAAAGGGAGCAAACTCTCTAGCTTCGTTTAACTTCACATAGGCATGCACCCCTATTCTGAAAACTGGATGTCGACTTCCAGTCATTTCTAGCTTTGATTTGGGGTGCCCCCGTTTCTGCACTTGGGAAGATTTTCGGTAATCCCGGAAGCACGACGACGACCCCCCCCCTTCATATAACCGACCTCTTACCTACACATGTGTAAGGTCGGCGGTCTTAAAAGACATTGAAGTTCTTGGAAGAGTCGGAAGCCCCTACAGGGGTTTGCTGCCATTATCACTGCTGGAGGGGGGGGTTAGTTCTTGGGAGATGGACTATGGGATCCCCTAAAACAGACAGACAGACACACACACACACACACACCGCCCAAGCAGGTGAGGAAGAGTTGGTGGCAAGGAGAGACACCAGGAGACCAGGCTCCCGCGCCCGGGGAAGGGTGCCTGCTCTGCGGGCTTCGAGGGCTCCGCCGTCGCTGCGTATCCACGGACTTACCGTGGAAAAATACTCTCCGGGACGGCCCTCGAGGGTCTCTCCGCGGTGAGGCTGCGGTTTTGCTGACCGGGAAGGGCGACCTCACCTCCCAAACGAGCGGTAAGAGAAGACCGACGAAAGCTGCCTAGCCCCCTTTTCTCCGGCGCTTTGGGTTTTCCCTCCCCTTGTCGAGAGGACCTCATTCCAGATCCTCTGGCTGCTCCAGTCTGAGCGAAAAACGCTCGCGAAGCTACAAGTGGTCGCGCGGGGGGGGGGGGGGGAGGACCTTTTGGGAGGAGACGTGTTTTATTGGTTGGGATTAGAAGACGCGTTTCCAAACGGGGGTCTCGCTCCTCGCTCTTCTGGCCCCTTCGAGGCCCTTTCAGAGAAGAACCCGTCGGTCCCTTCGCCGATGGGCTTAGGGAAGGAAGGATGAAGGACGCCTCGGAGGAGCTGTCCGGGCTCTCAGGTGCTGAAGCGACACGCCCAAAGGGGATTCAGTCACAGAAGAAGATACATCACCGCCCACGGCCACCGCCTCTGTTTGAATCCAAATTATATTGTCTCCGGTCTCCTCCCATTTCCTCCCTTCCCCTCAAACTTTCTGCCTATCCTAGACAAGAAGTATGTATGTATATATGTGTGTTTGGTGCAGCGATGTTTCCCAGAGGCAACTGTTGATATGGATGAACCTATTGAGGAAACTATTGTGGGCAAGAATCCCATAGAAGAAAATGGAGTAGCCCTCATAATCAACGAAAGAGTGGGGAAAGCTGTACTGGGATACAGTCTCAAAAATGATAAAATGATTTCAATACGAATCCAAGGCAGACCTTTCAACATCACAATAATCCAAATTTATACACCAACCACGGATGCTGAAGAGGCTGAATTTGACCAGTTCTTTGAAGACTTAAAACACCTTCTAGAACTGACACTGTTATGTTATGTTCACCCTGTGTCCCTGTTCCTTTTTCTCAACCCAAAGGGCTCACGCTGGTGACATTCCTTCTTTCTTTCGCTGCCACCAGTGGATTTCTTTCTCCACACTGTAAAGGACTTTAGTCTGACACCGGCTGCCATCAACAGACCTTTGACTTATACTCAGAATACATCATGGGAAAGGCTGGACTGGAGGGAATCCCAAGCCGGAATTAAGATTGCCGTAAGAAATATCAACTACCTCAGATAGGCGGATGATGCCACTCTGATGGCAGAAAGTGAGGCGGCATTAAAGAACCTCTTAATAAGGGTGAAAGAGGAGAGTGGGGGGAAAATGATCTGAAGTTCAACATGAAAGAAACTGAGATCATGTCCACTGGTCCCATCACCTCCTGGCAAATAGAAGGGAGAAAGTGACAGTTTTTACCTTCTTGGGCTCCATGATCACTGCAGATGGTGACAGCAGCCACGAAATTAAAAGACGCCTGCTTCTTGGGAGGAAAGCGATGACAAACCTAGACAGCATCTTAAAAAGCAAAGACATCACCTTGCCAACAAAAGTCTGCATAGTCAAAGCTATGGACTGTCAAGAGAACAAACCTATCAGTTCTAAAGGAAATCAACCCTGAGTGCTCACTGGAAGGACAGATCCTGGAGTTGAGACTCCAATACTTTGGCCATCTCATGAGAGGAGAAGACTCCCTGGAAAAGACCCCGATGGGGATGAGAGAGGATGATATGGATGGACTGTGTCATGAAAGCTACAAACATGAACTCCAGGAGGCAGTGGAAGATAGGAGGGCCTGGTGTGCTCTGATCTATGGGATCATGAATAGTTGGACACGACTTAACGACTAAACAATAAATTCAGGAAACCTCTGCTTCAACCTCCTCTTTCCTCCGTCACCTCAATATATATTATGCATATCTTATATATTATCCATTTCATGCACTTTAAACCACCTTGGCCAATAACCATTTTTGCAGTGATGGCTAATAACGCTTTAGAAGATCATTTTCATGTCAAAATCACCCAGATGTTAACCCCTGCTGACTTTTGATAAAACATAACCCGACTTTATGCATTCCATATTATGTTTTGAAAGAAATACTCTACCAACAAGACCCTCCCCAAAGGTGCTTAATGCCGAAACCATTGCAGAACTAAAGCATGCAATAACTACAAAAGGGGTTTATTGGGAGCAGTTGGAAAACAGTTGCAGGCTAAAATGAAACAAAAGCAGTTATATCCTAGACATTCCTAAAGGTACAATGTTTGTCAACCATTTTCTGGACCCACTTCAAGGCTTTGATTGTCCTCTTGAACATTTTTACTGCCTAAATCTCTTCAGGAACCTCTAACTGTAACTACTAGATCCCACCCCACCTACAGTTTGAGGTAGGCAACAGTCATCCTCTACATAATTTCTAATACGAATCCCCACTGAACAAAATCAACTGTACTTCTGAATAGATGTGTGTAGGATTGCACTGGCAGTTATTAGCCAGACTTCATCTTTAGATGAGAAAAAGAATCCTATTGGCAATTTAAGTGTATGTCAATTGGAACTTTGTAAGTCATAGTGGTGATTTGCTGCTAATTAATAAGATAGCAGTTGTGTTTCTCATTGCATTTCTGTTGTATAACCAGGCATGTGACCAGGGATGCTATCTATCTAATCTTTCTATCTAATCTTTCCATCTAATCTTTCTATCTTTCTTTCTATCTTTCTATCTTTCTTTCTATCTTTCTATCTTTCTATCTATCTTTCTATCTTTCTATCTATCTATCTTTCTATCTATCTATCTATCTATCTATCTATCTATCTATCTATCTATCTATCTATCTATCTATCTATCTATCTATCTATCTATCTATCTATCTAATCCATTCAACTTGTATCCTGCCTGCACTCTGCAAGAGTCTCTGGGCAGCTTCCAACTTCAATTAAAACAAAAAAATTAAAACGAACACACTAAAAATTAATACAATTAAAACAAAAACCAAAAATTTGCACCTCATTAATTGGTGGCAATGTGATGACATGACTTACACAATTTCATTTACGTGCACATGAAAGATGATGCTGTTAAGGTGCTAAATTCAATATGCCAGCAAGTTTGGAAAACCCAACAGTGGCCAGAGGATTGGAAAAGATCAGTCTTCATCCCAATCCCAAAGAAAGACAGTGCCAAAGAATGCTCCAACTACCGTACAATTGCACTCATTTCACACATGATTACCTCATTAAATGACGAATCTTCTTTACGATGGTTTTTTTGTGATCGCTATTGCAATCGCAAAATGATGTTCCTATGGGGAAATTTCGCTTCACGACGATCGGTTCCCTGTTTCGGGAACCGATTCTTTGCATTACGATGTTTTTCAAACAGCTGATCGGCGGCTGTTCAAAGTCATATTGACCAGATAGGCGGGATATAAATAGAATGAATGAATGAATGAATAAATAAATAAATACATACATACATAAATACATAAATAAATACATAAATAAATACATAAATATCCTCTTCAACACCTCATTTTAATCTACTTTGTTCCTGCCAGCTTTTATTATGGAATGCCATAGTATGGATAATCTTGGCCTTGGTCTCCAGTAACACATCCATACATTTAAGGAACTTTTCCAGCTCCTTCATAGCTGCCCTTCCAAGTTCTCAGTTTATTCTGATCCACATGCATATATGGTGCTCTGAAAATGGAGCTAGAAGGGGAGCCCTATTCTATGAAAAAACTTCCTTGAGGAAAGTTACATTTTTGGACTACAGGACCCAGAATCCTGGAGCCAGCACAGCCTGTAGCCATGCTGGCTAAATTGGTTCTGGGAGGTGGGGCACCTGCTGTCACATAACAGCTTCAGCAATGGGGGCAGTGGAAAATCAGGAGAGCATTTTGCCTTTCTGTTTGTGATGGTCTCCAGGTCATGGTGGGTGTTTTTTATGGTGCTCAGCTGGAACACTATCAAATATGCAGCTGGCTGGGGTGTGCAAATGGAAAGGTGATAGCTGTGCACTCAGGAAAATGAGGAAAAATTGGACACATGCAATGCATTGGATAGAGACCATTGCAGGTAGGCATCAGCATGGGAATATTTAGCAGCATGAAAATACAGAAAAAGCTTTAAAAACATACTGTACCATGATTGTAATGACCTTTGGGAGTATAACACTGTGTGAAAAGTAGCAATTTTGGCAGCATAGGTTTGACTGAGCAGCTGGAATATGCTAGATAAACATGTTTCTCAATTAAGGCTGATTCATAAACAGATCACCACCGTACAACAGAACTAGCAGAATCCTATTACTTAGCATCTGCAAGCCTAAATCCAGTGGTTTGCATCTCAGCACCAGATTGCAGTTAGTTAAGAAATTAGCACTTGTATCCATCATCTCAAGCCAGCTGGGTGAGTTTGCATGCAACGAGCAATTCAAGCTTTGACTTCTTAACTTTGGGCCATTCATGGCTGAGCTTTATGCTAGGATTCTGCCACTGAGTTAAAAGGAGACACAACCAGAGGGCAAGCAAAGAGCGAAACATGGAGCTTTGCTTGATAAGGTATTTGTTAAGGTGAAAATCTGCTCTGAAAAAAACCTTGATGAATCCAGCACTTCTCCCAGACAAATGCATGCTGTTCTGAAAAAGCAGCTAGCCTATTTGTATTTCTTGCTGCTCCTCACATGCATATCTCCTCAGATGTTAAATCCCACTCCATTCAGTAGGCCATTCTTCTACCATATGGCAAACCAGTTCACTTCATCACATTGTGCATACCTTTGATTTATTTTTCCTTCCTTTTGATTTAATGCCGCTTCATGCATTGCCCTGCTATTCTTTCTGGAAGAAAACAGTGATGTGATTACACACACACCAATTCTGTTGGCTATGAGTTGGGTTGTTCTATGAGTAAATTGCTAGGAGAAGACTGATATTTCATGTCTCTGGATCCCAGAAGAGACAAGCAGATGTCCTATGCTGTCACCTGTGCAATTCCTAAGTATTCTGGGTATTTTTTAGAATCTTGTGCAATTGTACCAAATGCACAGGTCAAAAGACTGGGGATGTCTCTGGGCATCTACAAGACACATTTCACCTCCTAACGAACTAAAGCACCAGTTTTATGTTGTTATGTGAACTGGATACAAGGAGTAACCATGCTGCATATATTCACATAATATTATTGTAATATTTAAACAGTTGACCAAATCCTCTTACCTAATTAGCACAACTAATGTAGCACAAACA